CTTTCAGAGCTCGCCATCGAAAGGTGAGAGGGCGAGCGAATCCTGATACTAAAGGCATGCCCTCAAAGAACAGCGAGATGCCCTCCAAGTACTCCGGAGCTTTCCGGTAGTCGAGAAGGCCACCGTCGAAGCTGGTCGTGAGGAAGCCTCCAAAAGTTTAACCTTCAGGTCTGGTGGCGGGGAGGTGGTGGAGAGCTTGAGAAGTCGCAGCATTGAGGGCCCGGCTTTCGTCACAAGAACAGGCACTTGCACTTCCTCCGGACAGTTCTGCAGGAATGCTGCTTCATTCCCGCCAAGACACTTGCCCAAGATGCTGCTGAGCGAACACTCTTTTTGCCTTTGGCGTGCGTCAACCGAGTCGTTAGTAAAAGAAGAGAGCTTTCAGAGCTCGCCATCGAAAGGTGAGAGGGCGAGCGAATCCTGATACTAAAGGCATGCCCTCAAAGAACAGCGAGATGCCCTCCAAGTACTCCGGAGCTTTCCGGTAGTCGAGAAGGCCACCGTCGAAGCTGGTCGTGAGGAAGCCTCCAAAAGTTTAACCTTCAGGTCTCCCGCCCCCCCCTCCGAGCGGACGCCTCAGGTTGAGAAGAAGAAGAAGCCAGGTGACAACGTCAGCGGCCAAAGGGCGGGTTGGGTGGGGATTGCCACCTGTACTTGCTGCCGGCGACTGAGCTGGCGGTGGTTGTGCCACTGATTGAAGAAGCAGTGGCGGGGGCGATGGCCCAAAAGATGGGAAGATACCCATCTGAGCTTGCAACCACTCCACCAGATTGTGCTCCACCTCGGCCACCGTGCCCATCACTTGCACCCAAACCTCTTGGAACAGACTGGAAACCAGACTGGCAGCTGCTCGAAGTAGAAGACGGACCACGAGGGCGAGCAGCAGGGCACAAAGGCGTGGGAACAAAAGAACCACCAAGGCGACCGCGACTGTCCTTAGTCGCAGTTGCGGCACGTAGCGTCGCAGCTGCCCCACACTGAAACCACCACTGAGCCACTCAAAGGTTGTAGCCGTAGGCGCCGAAGCTTGCGTGGGTCCGAGTAAAAGAGGCCTGGGCCTGCCAGCCCCCGGGCCTCGTTCCACTTGGGGCGCCGCCACACCTGAACACGCCTGCAAGGCCTGCGACATGCGGGCCAACACACTGGTGAACTTCCGTAGGGAACTGCCCGCGCGCCAGCGAGTAGCCACCTCTCTGCGGTGTGGGTCCGCCAGCACCTCCGCCGCTGTCAACCCGGAGTCTACTGGAGCACTGCCCAAGTCTGTAGCCGCTTGCTGAACCGCCTGGAGCAACTGATCCGCCGGAGCCACCGCGGCATTCACATCGTCAGCGGAAGCATCGGCATGGGACGCCCTGGCCAAGCCGCGTCCCATACCTGCTCCGCCACTTGGCGGGAGGGCACGCGCCGCAGGCGTACGCTCGAGCCGGATAACCGGCCGCCGGGAAGTTGGCGCTCGATGGCCTTCCATGCCGCCGCGCCCTCGCCCTCGAAGAAGCCGACGAAGTCTGGAGCCCGCGGATTGGACACCACGATGTAGCACCGATGGTCCGTGCGATATGCCACCGATGAGCCCCCAGGGGAAAACGCCCGGGTCGCAGCACCTGTTGCCTTAGGAGCTGCTGCTGTAGGGACCCCCTTTCGCTCACCGCGCGGTTGCGGCTGTTGTCGCTGCTGTTGTCCACTGCTAGTGCCTGAAGAAGAAGAGGCGGAGAGGCCACTGCGCAAAACGGGGTCCTCCGCAGCCGCAGCGTTGACCTCGTCCAAAGCCGCGGCTAACTCACGTAGGGCACGTGATAGCCGGCCGCTGTCCATGCC